AGGAGTCTACCTCCTGATCAGCCTATAGCATCAAGTTTCAACTTAAATACCCCCTCTGATCTGTCAAAAAATCAAATAGAAATTCAGCGGATAAATTCCAACAATTTGATGTTAATTCTACCTTCTTCAGGAACTGTCCTGCCACAGGGCCAGGCGAGTCACAGGTACACAAAACTTAATCCCTGTCCTGGAAGAGCACCCTTTGTACTAGAAAAAAATTCCACCACAGACCTGGCCTCTAATCACAGTACCAACGATGCTTTCAAAGCTGCCCTGCTCTTCTGTGTCCTCTGTGCTAAGTATATTGTCCTGGCTAACCTAACACAAGCCTCAAGACTTCCCGGGAGTCAATCTGAATGCCGTTGGCTACAGCCAGAGGGTGACATGCCAAAGAAGGGTGTCCACACAATCCCCCAGCATGGATGTTTCTCCATTGTTTCCTTCTTTCCTCAATGCCTCCCAAAGGGGAAAGTGTACCGGAAAGGAATCTGTATCCTAGACACTCTCTTCACTTGAGACCAGAGTCGACTGACTCCAGAGATGTCAAGGAATGGTATCACTGGATCATAGATTAGGTCTATGTTTAATTGTTTGAGGAATTGCCAAACTGTCTTCCAGAGTGGTTGTACTAGTTTACATGCCCCCAAGCAGTGCAATGGGACTCCTTTCCCTAACCTGTCCTGCCAGCAGGTGTTAATATTTGGATTCTTGCTGAAATGCCTTTCATTTTTTTATTGTGAAAATACTGTACAGAGGGGTTACAATTACATGGGCAAGATAATGAGTACATTTCTTATCAAGCATTGTAGCCCCCTCCTTTGTTTACCCTTCCCATCCCTTCCCAAGCTCCCCTGCCCCCTGCCAATCTTCTCCCCCCACCAAAGTTGTAAAGTTCCTTTTCGACATGACAACTTGTACTTCTCATTTGTTGCAATGGGTCCACCTGTATCCTTATTTAAACAACTTGTTTTTCTCCTTCCCCTCCACAAATTATACAGACATCAAATACAGTGAAAGCAGGGGTTAAACTGTGGGGGAGGGACATACAAAGCAACAAAGAAGTAATCTTATAAATGTGTTAGAAACAAATGCATGAGAGAAAAAAACATTTAAATATATATCTTAGGGTTTGAAATGCCTTTCATTTTAAACTGTACTCATTGGTTCTCTAAAAAAAGCATTCTTGTCTGTGATGTGAATGTATTTCCTCCTAAATAATGTAAATGAATGATTATCCATCCCTCAATGTGGCCTGACCTTTTCATGATGCTTGGGGGCATGTAAACTAGTACAACCACTCTGGAAGACAGTTTGGCAATTCCTCAAACAATTAAACATAGACCTAATCTATGATCCAGTGATACCATTCCTTGACATCTACCCAGAGCATTATAAGTCAGAAAAGACAGTAAAGAAATATTAGAGATTTAAGTTAGAGTTAGTGAGCACAGACTACATAAAAGACACTTGTATATCCATGTTCATTGCTGCATAAAACCTGTTATTTAAATAGTTCAGATGCCCTACAGTGGATGAGTATATCAAGAAAATATGGTATAGTACATATATACAATGGAATTTTACTCATCCATTAAAAAGAATAACATTATGTCATTTGCAGGGGAATGGATAGACCTAGAAAAAAAGTCATGCTAAGGTAAGTAAGCCAGGCTCAGAGATAACAAATAGAACATGTTTCCTCTCATAATGTGAAAGCTAGATCTAAAATACAACTATGTATGATAATATATAGAGAGCTCAATACATTTACACCCAAACTGACTAAAGGAAGATATTACTTAGGGAAGGAGTCCAAAGGTGTAACTCCTCTGAATGACTACTATACTGTAAAGTACCACTGTGTTTATCAGTATGAAAATCAGAAAGTGGAAACATGTTTTGGGCATGGGGGGTTGGCATGGGAATGGATGAAGGAAGGGTGAGCAAATGTAGTCATTATATCCAATGTACATTATATGAAAAATGAACTATGTGACAAGGATAGAGATGGGAAGGGGAAGATGAGAATGAAGGAAGGGGTAACTTTGACCAAGAAGGAAAAACAAAGGAAGGGGTAACAGTGCTTGATAGAGAATGTACTCATTACCTTACTCATGCAACTGTAACCTCTTTAAACAGCATCTTTCAATAAAAACATATATTAAAATAAAAAAGAAATTACTCATGAAGCAATACATGTTGGTTGATAATATGCCCATACTTCTAAAGACATTTTTGCTATAATGAAGCAATCCACCTTAGAAACTTACTATTTTGCTTTCCCGCATCCATCCCTCCTCCTGATGAATGACATCCAGACTTATTATAGGAAAACCATATACATATATATCTACACACACATACACACACACACATATACAGAGAGAGAGAGAGAGAGAGAGAGAGAGAGAGAGCAAGCCATACACCAAGCCAGATGGTGCAGGTGGCCTACCTTAAGAGTCCACATATAAGCTAGGTACTGGTAGCTCATGCCTCTAATCCTAGCCACTCAGGAGGCTGAGATCTGAGACCGCAGTTCAAAGCCAGCCCGGGCAAGAAAGTCTGTGAGGCTCTTATCTCCAATAAACCGCCAGAAAACTGGAAGTGGCGCTGTGGCTCAAGTGGTAGAGCATTAGCCTTGAGCTGAAGAGCTCAGAGACAGTGCCCATGCCCAGAGTTCAAACCCACAACCATCAACAACAACAAAGAGCCCAAATATTTACAAACACATGTACCTTCCACTCCAAGGGTAGGTTGTAGCTGGCCTAAGTTACTGATGACTGATTTATGAATGGTAAATAAATAATGCAGGGCCTATAAATGAGAAGAACTCATTTTCTGAGCCTTCACAGAAATCCATCCTCCTCCCACCCCTAGAAGAGACTATCTGTGTCCCTGGCTGGTGTGGTGTGTGGATAGGAGATGGGGATCCATTGGATGGAAGCTGAGAGAGAAGCTAACATTGCAGAGGCAAGGTAGAGACCCAGAATAGAAACCAAATTTTTAGAAATGTTTGGTCAAGCTTTGTCGGCAACTTTCCCTCATGGTTCTGTTTGGTTTAAAGGAGCTTTTTGTTTGCTTTAACCAGTTTCTAACAATGCCAAAGTAATTTAAACTGATACAATCACCATACATTTGGAAAGGAGACAAGTAAAAAACATGTAAGACCTCTTTGGGGTATAGTAAGAGGTCAGTGTGATAGGTAGAGGTTTTTAATTAATCACAATACTTAGCTTTATACAGATGTTCCCATTTCTTTAAAAAACACCGTTTTCTTCATAACTTGTTTCATTTGAATTTCACAGTACCCAGTATTAACATTTTTTTGGGGGGGGGGTCTGGTCATGGGGCCTGAACTCTGGGTCTGGGCGCTGTCCCTCAGCTCTTCAGCTCAAAGTTAGCACTCTACCACTTGAGCCACAGCGCCACTTCCGGCTTTATTTTGTTTTTGCTTATGTGGTGCTGAGGAATCGGACCCAGGGCCTCATGCATGCAAGGCAAGCGCTCTACCACTGAGCCACCTTTCCAGCCCCAAACATTTTTGCCTTGTAGCAAGCACTTAGCATTGATAGTTTAAAATATGATTTCAAATTCAATGATCTGTTTGTCACAATAACCAAATAAGGTATGAGTGGTGAGTCTCTAAGTCTGTTGAGCCTCAGTGAAGTCCACTGAATTGTCTAGTTCTTGTGAGGAGGTGGAGGAGAAGGCCTCATACCTAGGTTTCTTCCTTCTATGGCTCCCAATCCAATAATCTGAATCAAATGCACTGACTCTATTCCCAGAAACAAATACTCTGCTTTTAGGTTCATACACTGATCTTAGTATCAGGATGAAGTCTATTAAAACTTTAGAGACTTCAATTCCAAGTTGTAAATAAATAGGTGGTAGCCTTAGGAAAGTTCCTTCTGTCTCCTTTTCTGTGAAAGGAGATGTTTGAATTGGAATCTCTAATGCCCTTTCAAGGGTTAAAATTCTGCATTAAAAAAAATGTATGCCAGCTCTGAGGCTTGAACTCAAGGCCTGTGCTCTTTCCTGACTCTCCCACTTCAGGCTGGTGCTCTATCATTAGAGGCACACCCCACTTCCAGCTTCTTGCTGGCTAATTGAAGAGAAAAGAGCCCCCTACCCCCAAGATTTGTCTTCCCAGGCTGGCTTTGAACCACAATCCTCTGATCTCAGCCTTGTGAATAGCTAGATTATAGGCATGACCCACTAGCACCTGGCTAAATTCTATAATTTCAAAACACACAAAAAACCTTCTATAATTCTAGAATTTCTGTTCCCATTCTCAAGTGCATGTTTTCCCCAATATAATAGTCCCAGGCTGGGAAGGTGGCTCAGTGTTAGAGCGCTTGCCTTGCATGCATGAGGCCCTGGGTTCAATTCCTCAGCACCACATCAGCAAAAAGAAAAAAAAGCCAGAAGTGGCGCTGTGGCTCAAGTGGTAGAGCACTAGCCTTGAGCTGAAGAGCTGAGGGACAGCGCCCAGGCCCAGAGTTCAGGCCCCATGACCGGACTCAAAATAATAATAATCCCAACCTTAGCTGACATTTTTTTTTCTTGCTAGTGTCAGATACTGTGCCTATATTTTCTTTTTCAGTCTTTCAACATTCCAAAGAGGGTTATAGCTCTTTAAAGATAAGGAATCCCTCACTGAATTCACAGAAGCTTAACAAACTGTCCAAGGTCGGCAGGGTCAGTATCCATGAAGAGAACCAGTCACTCTAGTCAGAATGGCCATAGGAATCTTCCCTTGGTCTGTAATTGTTTTTGCAGAAGGCGTTAAACTCTGCCTTGCTAGGTCCCTTTTCTCCATGCAGAAAGGGTAGGTAGAAGGAGATGAGAGGCCAAACAGCACTACATCAAGCTGCTTCAAGGCAAAACCAGACAGCCTTGGAAAGGCACCCACATGACAGGACCCTTCGAAGCCAGGACCCAAGGGGCAATGTGTCCTCCCTGCCGGCCCCATAATCCCTGGGCCAGAACTGGCCACTTACCTTGTTGATGGGTGGAGTCCTGATGACTTCAAACCCGCGCTTCTTCAGGTGCACTGGCTGCAAGGGGTGGACCTTGGATTGGCAGCCTCGGGCGGGCCCAGAGGGCGCCCAGTGCGGGAGGGTGCTGCAGATTCTGCGGGGCAGAGGAGCCAGCCTGGTGCCGGTGACCAGCACAGTGCCCATGGTCCTGGCTCAGACCTGGCACGAGAGAGAGATCAAGGTCAGGGTAGTCGTATACCCCGCCAAGATCCATGTGCCAGCCCTCAGGGCACCACGTCTGATCTGAAGGCCCCCAGCAGAGCCCTGGGGGGACCCCAAGACTGAAAGGAAGCTCACTTCATCCCTTCCCAGTGACCACCTGCTGGGCTCACTGTTGGCAGCATGTCAGGCCTCACCAAGCAAGGCCACAAGCTGATCCAATGAGGGGACCGCCTGGCCATCCTCGTCCTCATCCCACACCCACCAGCCCACCTGGTGGTCAGCCTCGGTTCCCTCCTTCCCGGCTCACTTGTGTGTGTGTGGGAGCCCAGGGAGAAAAGGGTGACAAGGCAATCCAGCTGTGGAGCTGACAGGTGAGACAAGGCCCTGGGATCCGTTAGTTCTCTGCCGCCATTGGTGAGGCCACGTGACGTGCGCTCGCGATGGGCTGCATTCTGGAAAGAAAGGTTCCGCGCCCTCCAGATGCGCAGGATTGCGGGTAGCATTTAGGCCTTCTTCGTGCCCCTGGCTGCAGGATTAGAAGTGGAAATTCCCCGGCACCGTGGGCTCCCTGCTACCCTGTGCAGTCCAGCAAAAGCCATTGGCTACGTGTGGCTGGATACATTTAAATAAATTAATTTAAATACTTTAGCATTTAAAGATCCAGTTTCTGGGTCACACTAGAGCGTTGCCAGTGCTTAAGAAACACTGAAGACATTTCCATCTTTGCAGAAAGTTCCATTGGACAGGTCTGGTACAGGGTGGGAAATTCTCTTAGAGGGAACCGCATGATTCCCACCATGGACTGTGGAGGCCAGATGGTGACTATCATTGACCTCTGAACTGAATTTTATATTTTCTCCACACAGTTATCGGGAGATTTGGTTTTAAATCAAACATTTTATTGTGTGTGAAATAAAATGCAAACCTTTCGGGAGCCTATTAGGCTAGTCGATAGCCTGGTTCTTGCCAACTTCTCTTCCTTGGGTCCATTGTACTCTTTCTTTTCATTTCAGTTTCTCCACACTACCCAATTCTTTTTCATCTTAGGACTCCAGCCTTCAAAACATCTACCACTTGCCTGGTGCTGGTGGCACATGCCTGTAATCCTAGCTACACAGGAAGCTGGGATCTGAGGATCACAGTTTGAAGCCAACTGGGGCAGGCAAGTCTTTGAATACCAACCAAATACTTCTTTTTCTTCCTTAAGTACAAAAACTATTTCTTTTTCTTCCTCCCCTGTATTGAGGGTTTTTTTTTGTGTGTGTGTGAAAATACCGTACAGAGGGGTTACAATTACATGGGCAAGGTAATGAGTGAATTTCTTATCAAGCATTGTTGCCTCCTCCTTTGTTTCCCTTTACCATCCCTTTCCATCTCCCCCCCACCCTGCGCCAAAGTTGTAAAGTTCATTTTCGACATAACATCTACATCTCATTGTTGCAATGGGTCCACTTGTATCCCTATTTAAACAATTTGTTTTTTTCCCTTCCCCTCCACAAATTATACCAACATCAAATACAGTGAAAACAGGGCTTATACCATGGTGGAGGGACATACAAAACAACATAGAAATCATCTTATAAATATGTTAGACACAATGGCAAGAAAGAAAAAATATTTGAGTCCTTAACTTGGGGTTCGTTTCGCTTAACATCAACTTACCTGCCTTTCTGTTTGTCTCAGGCATATACTAGTTATTGCAAATAAGGGAAACCATGGGACCTATGTTTCTTTGGGCCTGGCTTACTTCACTTAATATAATTTTTTCCAAGTCTTTCCATTTCCTAACAAATGGGTGATATCATTCTTTCTGATGGAGGCATAGAATTCCATTGTGTATATATACCACATTTTCTTGATCCATTCATCTACTGAGGAGCATCTGGGTTGGTTCCATATTTTAGCTATGGTAAATAATGCTGCAATAAAAATACTTGTGCTGGTAGCTTTAGTATGGTCTTGTTTTGAGTAAATGCCTAAAAGTGGGATTGCTGGGTCCTAGGGGAGCTCTATGTGAAGTCTTTTGAGGAACCTCCATACTGCTTTCCAAAGTGGCTGAACAAGTTTACACTCCCACCAACAATGCAGTAGCGTTCCCTCTTGGCCACATCTCCTCCAGCATCTGTTGTTATTAGAGTTCTTGATTTTAGCCATTCTAACTGGGGTGAGGTGGTATCTCAATGTTGTTTTGATTTGCATTTCTTTTATGGCTAGGGATGTTGAGCATTTCTTCATGTGTCTATTGGCCATCCTTCTTTCCTCTTCAGAGAAGTTTCTCTGTAAGTCTTTAGCCCACTTATTTATTGGGCAATTGTTTCTTTGAGGATTTGTTGTTGGGGGATTTAATTTTTTTTGAATTTTTATTTTTTTATTGTGAAAATACTGTACAGAGGGGTTACAATGACATGGGCAAGATAATGAGTACATTTCTTATCAAACATTGTAGCCTCCTCCTTTGTTTCCCCTTCCCATCTATTCCCATCCTCTCTTTGCCCCCCGGGATTTAATATTTTGAGTTCCAGGTATATTGTAGATATGAGACCCTGGTCCGTTGTATGGCTAGTGAAGATCTCCCAATTCGTGGGCTTTCTATTGATCTTGCTAGCTATGTCCTTTGCCATACAGAAGCTCTGCAATTTCATGCAATTCCATTTGTCCAAACTTTCTGTGATTTGTTGTGTTTCTGAGTCTCTTTTAAGAAAATTTTGACCTGTGCCAAGGAGACCTAGGGTTTCTCCTATTCCATCCTGTAATGTTTTCAGAGTATCTGCTTTGACTCTGAGGTCTTTGATCCATTTGGAGTTGATTCTGGTACAGGGTGATATAGAACGATCTAGCTTTAGTGTTCTACAAGTTGTTAACCAATTTTGCCAGCACCATTTACTGAAGAGTTTCTCTTTCTTCCATTCTGTTTTTTTTTAGCTCTCTTATTGAAGATTAGATGGCTATAGGTCTGTGGGTTCATTTCTGGGTTTTCAATTCTATTCTATTGGTACTGAGGTCTGTTCTTGTGCCAGTACCAAGCTGTTTTGATTACTATGGCTTTGTTGTAGAGTTTGAAATTTGGTATTGATATTCCCCTAGCACTGTTCTTTCTGTTAAGGATTGTTTTTGCTATTCGAGGTCTTTTATTGTTCCATATGAATTTTTGGATTGCCTCATCTATTTCCTTGAAGAATGAGATTGGGATATTGATAGATACTGCATTGAATTTGTAGATAGCTTTGGGAAGTATTCCCTTCTAATCTGGAAGCTTGGGAGGTTTTTCCACTTTCTTAGTTCTGTTTTGATGACCTTTTTCAGGTTTTTAAAGTTTTCATCATAGAGGTCCTCCCTTCTCCATGATCCTTTAATGGTGTCATTTGAGTCTGTTTCATTACTTATCTTCTTGAGCTTTATTTGTGTGTGCCTGTGCATGCATGTACAGATTACTGGGGTTTGAACTCAAGGCCTGGATGCTGTCTCTTTTTTCACTCAAGATTGGCACTTTACCATATGAGTCACAGCTCCACTCCCAGCTAGGTTTTGCTGCTGTTTAATTGTAGATAAGAGTCTCAGGGACTTTTCTACCTGGTCTAGCTTTGAACTGCAATCCTTAGTTCTCAGCCTCCTGAGTAGATAGAAATATAGGTATGAGCCACCAGAACCTGGCTTTTTTTGAGCCTTAAAGGAGTTCATAGAGATGAACAACTTTGAATTCAGGCAGTGTGGATGTCACCCGACTAGTTTGTGTGACCTGCAGCATTTTCTGTGACCTCTTTAAACCTCACCGTCGTCTTGGATAAAAACCAAGATCCCAATATTACTTTCAACAGAGGTTTTATTTTTATTATTTAAAATGTATTTGTCAAGTATCTGGCACTGTACTATGTGTTTTACAAAAACAGATGGTTCCCAAGGGTTTTTTTTTTAACTTTCAGATGTTTCAGCAGCAATTGTATTGCTAATTTTGGTCTTTATCCAGGCTAGTGAGATTTCATTCTGAAATAACACAAAGAGATGAAACAGAAATTTTGTAGTAGAAGTTATTGATTTTTCTGTTACATTGCACTCTCTTTATTGTTCTATTACATAGCCATAAGTGAATACCTGGTTTTAATGAGAAATAAATATATTTTAAGTAGAGAGGTTTTCTCCCATACTGGGCAGAACTTGCTGTATTGCCAAGTGTGATGTCTAGTAGGTAGATTCAATGCACATTTCAATTCATGGGACATTAACTCCATTGTGAGTCAAGAGGTGTACTAACTCATTTAGACTTGTAATTTTTTCTGAAATACTGAGCTTTTTCCCAGATTATTTCTTTCACCTCCAGATCTACCTTCTACACTCTGGTTTATGGTTGGAGCTTAGCTCCTGACATCCAACTCTTTCTCAGCAGGTTTTCCATTAAAGTCTGTCAATAGCAGGCACTAGAGAGAGAATGAAGACCATAGAGTTTCTTTCAGCAGTAGCTTTTCACCAGTGGCCTTTCACCTAGCATCAGTCATTGGTTCCGAGGTGCAGCCTCCTTCCATGCTCTCACAAGGCTCCTACAGAGTCAGCAGCAGGTCTCTTGTCCTATAGGTCCTGTTTCTAGTGATCCCAACCTCTTCCCTTGTTCATCCACTAGAAGAGCTGGAGCTATGGTTATTTATGTTCACCCCAGCATTCTTTTTCTTCTTGGTTGGTCCTCCAGCAAAATTTATATTTTCTCTTCCTTCCTTCCTTCCTTCCTTCCTTCCTTCCTTCCTTCCTTCCTTCCTTCCTTCCTTCCTTCCTTCCTTCCTTCCTTCTGCTTCCTTCCTTCCTTCCTTCCTTCCTTTCTTTTCCTTCTTTCTTTGTGCCAGTACTGGGGCTTGAACTCAGGGAATGGGTACTGTCCTTTAGCATTTTTGCTTCAGGTTGGCATTCTACCATTTGAACCATACCTCCACTTTTGGCTTTTTGGAGATGCCCTTTAAAGGAAGAATGAATTAAGAAAATATGGTGTGTGTATATAT